TCTTGTTAATTCCCCAGATTTTTCTGCAGCCTCACGAAGTTCCAGGACGTCTTGGTGAATTTTATCGACTCTTTCATTACATTGTCTCTCAAAATGTTCTAAATCCATTTCTCGAAGTGAATCTTGAATACGTGAGCAAAGATTTCCAATCCTATCACATTTGCCATTTACAAGTTTTTTAATCTCTAAATTGCTCAATTTAGAAAGAACCTGGTTCTTCAGTCTAAATCTCCAGATTGTGCATCTAAACTCGGCCAATTCCAATGATGCTAGAACCGAATGACGTTTGTAGTTGGTTTCTTTTGCAACCTTGATGATCCATTTTAGATGTTTTTTGATAGATTTTATTAAGAAATCCGAGAATTTTAACCAATTCTCGTGATAAGTCTCTTGCGGTTCTGTCGGCCTTAGGAAATTAGCAAACATTGTTGATCTTAATTCGGGAATCACACGGGAAACCTCATGGAATAGTACTTTTTGAATATTGACAATTTCAAGGAATGCGTCAAGGTAAATCCGTCTAATTAAAGTGCAGTGTGCACATAGCAAATGATGGCATTTAATTAAATGTATAATATAATAACTATTGATCATTATGTCATGTCGTCATACCTGTCAATCTTAGGGGTCACGATTCCTACTTCTTCTAAACTCTCTTGAAGTCGACGATCCTGGGTGACAGGAGAATTATCCATGGATATATCCAATAATTCGATATTTCCGATAAGTTCATCTATTTTTAATTCCGATTTTTTCTTAAACCTGTATGATAAATTATTTGCACGTTAGTCAAAGTTCATTCATTAACTAGGAGAGTTAAACATTAAAGATACTTGCAAACTTGATACCGCGGAATCATAAGCGAGCTTGTATGGCGGGTTAGTTGCGTCAGATATCAGGATAGAAAGCTTGTTGTAGGAAGCGAAAAGGGGTTTCGCATACTTATTCCATAATTTCTCATGAGATGATGGTATCGAGTAATCATTAAGCTTTCTAAAATGGTTCAATGGAGTAATTTCTTTTGATGCACGACCAAGAAATTCTTTCGGCTCTTCGGGATCTTTCTGAATGTCTTTATCACGAGTTTGACTCTTTAACTTTTTGATGAAATCCTCTCGGCTATGCTCTAAACGATTGATGACCCTCTCTAACTGAACGCTCAGATCTTTTAATTTTGAATCATACATCGTCAAAAACTTTCTATTTTGAGTATC